GCTACTCCTCGTCGTCCCAGCAGTTGGCAGCAGAGAGGAGGACAGAACTCCTCCACCAGATCCTGCACTTCTTTGTGCAGCTGTGGAGAGGCTGTGTCCCAGCAGTTGGCAGGCAGAACTCCTCCACCAGATCCTGCACTGCTACTCCTGCCGTCCCAGCAGTCGGCAGCAGTCGGCAGCAGAGGGAGGACAGAAACTCCCTCCACCAGATCCTGCACTTCTTTGTGCAGCCTGTGGAGAGGCTCATCTCTGCTACTCCTCGTACCCAGCAGAACTTCCCTCCCACCAGATCCTGCAACTTCTTTGTTGGCAGCAGAGAGGACAGAACTCCTCCACCAGATCCTGCACTTCTTTGTGCAGCTGTGGAGAGGCTCATCTCTGCTACTCCCCGTCCCAGCAGTTGGGCAGCAGAGAGGACAGAACTCCTCCACCAGATCCTGCACTTCTTTGCGCAGCTGTGGAGAGGCCTCATCTCTGCTACTCCTCATCCGAGGCAGTCAGTGGCAGAGAGGAGGACAGAACTCCTCCACCAGATCCTGCACTTCTTTGTGCAGCTGTGGAGAGGCTAATCTCTGCTACTCCCCGTTGTGCACTCCTTTGTGCAGCTGTGGAGAGGCTAATCTCTGCTACTACTCCCCGCAGTTGGCAGCAGACAGGACAGAACTCCCTCCACCAGATCCTGCACTTCTTTGTGCAGCTGTGGAGAGGCTCATCTTGCTATTCCTCAAACCCAGCAGTTTGGCAGCAGAGAGGACAGAACTGCTCCCATCTCCTGCTGCAGCTGTGGAGAGGCTCATCTCTTGCTACTCCCCGTCCCAGCAGTCGGCATCAGAGAGGAGGACAGAAAAAACTCCTCCACCAGATCCTGACTTCTTTGTGCAGCTGTGGAGAGGCTCATCTCTGCTACTCCTCGTCCCAGCAGTTGGCAGCAGAGAGGACAGAACTCCTCCACCAGATCCTGCACTTCTTTTGTGCAGCTGTGGAGAGGCTCATCTCTGCTACTTCCTCATCCCAGCAGTTGGCAGCAGAGAGGACAGAACTCCTCCACCAGATCCTGCACTTTTTTTGTGCAGCTGTGGAGAGGCTCATCTCTGCTACTCCCCGTCCCCCAGCAGTCGTCATCGGCATCATGAGAGGAGGACAGAACTCCTCCACCCAGATCCTGCACTTCTTTGTGCAGCTGTGGAGAGGCTCATCTCTGCTACTCCTCGTCCCAGCAGTTGGCAGCAGAGAGGACAGAACTCCTCCACCAGATCCTGCACTTCTTTGTGCAGCTGTGGAGAGGCTCATCTCTGCTACTCCTCGTCCCAGCAGTCGGCAGCAGAGAGGACAGAACTCCTCCACCAGATCCTGCACTTCTTTGTGCAGCTGTGGAGAGGCTCATCTCTGCTACTCCCCGTTCTCCCATGCAGTCGGCAGCAGAGAGGACAGAACTCCTCCACCAGATCCTGCACTTCTTTGTGCAGCTGTGGAGAGGCTCCATCTCTGCTACTCCTCATCCCAGCAGTCAGCGGCAGAGAGGAGGACAGAACTCCTCCACCAGATCCTGCACTTCTTTGTGCAGCTGTGGAGAGGCTCATCTCTGCTACTCCCCGTCCCAGCAGTCCGGCAGCAGAGAGGAGGACAGAACTCCTCCACCAGATCCTGCACTTCTTTGTGCAGCTGTGGAGAGGCTCATCTCTGCTACTCCCCCGTCCCAGCAGTTGGCAGCAGAGAGGACAGAACTCCTCCACCAGATCCTGCACTTCTTTGTGCAGCTGTGGAGAGGCTCATCTCTGCTACTCCTCATCCCAGCAGTCAGCAGCAGAGAGGAGGACAGAACTCCTCCACCAGATCCTGCACTTCTTTGTGCAGCTGTGGAAAGGCTCATCTCTGCTACTCCCCGTCCCAGCAGTCAGCAGCAGAGAGGAGGACAGAACTCCTCCACCAGATCCTGCACTTCTTTGTGCAGCTGTGGGAGAGGCTCATCTCTGCTACTCCCCGTCCCAGCAGTTGGCAGCAGAGAGGACAGAACTCCTCCACCAGATCCTGCACTTCTTTGTGCAGCTGTGGAGAGGCTCATCTCTGCTACTCCTCATCCTAGCAGTTGGTGGCAGAGAGGAGGACAGAACTCCTCCACCAGATCCTGCACTTCTTTGTGCAGCTGTGGAGAGGCTCATCTCTGCTACTCCTCCCAGTCCCAGCAGTTGGCAGCAGAGAGGACAGAACTCCTCCACCAGATCCTGCACTTCTTTGTGCAGCTGTGGAGAGGCTCATCTCTGCTACTCCTCATCCCAGCAGTTGGCAGCAGAGAGGAGACAGAACTCCTCCACCAGATCCTGCACTTCTTTGTGCAGCTCTGGAGAGGCTCATCTCTGCTACTCCTCATCCCAGCAGTCAGCGGCAGAGAGGAGGACAGAACTCCTCCACCAGATCCTGCACTTCTTTGTGCAGCTGTGGAGAGGCTCATCTCTGCTACTCCCCGTCCCCAGCAGTCGGGCAGCAGAGAGGACAGAACTCCTCCACCAGATCCTGCACTTCTTTGTGCAGCTGTGGAGAGGCTCATCTCTGCTACTCCTCCTCGTCCCAGCAGTCGGCAGCAGAGAGGACAGAACTCCTCCACCAGATCCTGCACTTCTTTGTGCAGCTGTGGAGAGAGCTCATCTCTGCTACTCCCCATCCCCCCCAGCAGTTGGCAGCAGAGAGGACAGAACTCCTCCACCAGATCCTGCACTTCTTTGTGCAGCTGTGGAGAGGCTCATCTCTGCTACTCCTCATCCCAGCAGTCAGCGGCAGAGAGGAGGACAGAACTCCTCCACCAGATCCTGCACTTCTTTTGTGCAGCTGTGGAGAGGCTCATCTCTGCTACTACTCCCCTACTCCATCCCAGCAGTCGGCAGCAGAGAGGAGGACAGAACTCCTCCACCAGATCCTGCACTTCTTTGTGCAGCTGTGGAGAGGCTCATCTCTGCTACTCCCCCCGTCCCAGCAGTTGGCAGCAGAGAGGACAGAACTCCTCCACCAGATCCTGCACTTCTTTGTGCAGCTGTGGAGAGGCTCATCTCTGCTACTCCTCATCCCAGCAGTCAGCGGCAGAGAGGAGGACAGAACTCCTCCACCAGATCCTGCACTTCTTTGTGCAGCTGTGGAAAGGCTCATCTCTGCTACTACTCCCCGTCCCAGCAGTCGGCAGCAGAGAGGAGGACAGAACTCCTCCACCAGATCCTGCACTTCTTTGTGCAGCTGTGGAGAGGCTCATCTCTGCTACTCCCCGTCCCCTTTATCAGCAGTTGGCAGCAGAGAGGACAGAACTCCTCCACCAGATCCTGCACTTCTTTGTGCAGCTGTGGAGAGGCTCATCTCTGCTACTCCTCATCCTAGCAGTTGGTGGCAGAGAGGAGGACAGAACTCCTCCACCAGATCCTGCACTTCTTTGTGCAGCTGTGGAGAGGCTCATCTCTGCTACTCCTCGTCCCAGCAGTTGGCAGCAGAGAGGACAGAACTCCTCCACCAGATCCTGCACTTCTTTGTGCAGCTGTGGAGAGGCTCATCTCTGCTACTCCTCATCCCAGCAGTCGGCGGCAGAGAGGAGGACAGAACTCCTCCACCAGATCCTACACTTCTTTGTGCACCTGTGGAGAGGCTCATCTCTGCTACTCCTCATCCCAGCAATTGGCAGCAGAGAGGAGGACAGAACTCCTCCACCAGATCCTGCTCTTCTTTGTGCAGCTGTGGAGAAGCTCATCTCTGCTACTCCTCATCCCAGCAGTCGGCGGCAGAGAGGAGGACAGAACTCCTCCACCAGATACTGTGCTTCTCTGTGTGCTGAGGAGGCCAATCTCTGCTGCTACTCCCTGTCCCAGCAGTCAGTAGCAGAGAGGAGGACAGAACTCCTCCACCAGATCCTGTGCTTCTGTTTCCCAGCCACAGCACACCCCCATCTCTGTCTCCCCTGGCCTCAGCATCCAGACTCTGGCAGCTGATTTCCAGTCCTCCTCCAGACCCTGCACTTTCTGCTTCCCAGCCCTTCCCCAGCTTCTTCCCAGCAGCAGCAGCAGCACAATTGGAAATATTTTTCTGATGATTGAAAAAACACAACTTTGTTCCCAAAACTCATTTTCCATAAAATTTGTAGATAGTTGTAGCCGGGGAATATCTGCTGCCATGATGTGTCCTAGACTTCTACTCTCAGAGCGAGTTCTGACCTCTTACTAAACCCAGTGATAATGGAATGCAGAGGGAAATGTTTCATATGAGAAAGAGAAGAGACATTTCTATCGTCTTCCAGACACAGCCGGCCCCTTGAGGGCCCCATATTTGCTGGTGTGCCCGCAGTGACAGAGTCTGACAGCCCTGTACTAGATGGTCATAGGAAACCACTATATGAAATAAAATACAGACAATATCTCTCATGGCTGATCAAACACATTTCATATTTATTCCACTCATTTTATAAACATAGACCTCTAAGAAAATTTGTGTGAAAGAGATTACACCAAAAAATGTCTGACCCGGTCCCACACTTCATCCATGTCTTGGGGGACCTATCATCTCCTTATGGACTGTTTTTCCATGGTGAAGATCAGCCATGGGAGTATATCTGAGGTGTATATCAGGGTGTGTTTCCACATGAGAGCTGGGGATGTCCAGCAACATTCATCTAGAAGACATTTCCCGCACTCAAGGCACTAATACACCTCCAGGGTTGTGTGGGACCCCTGATGTACAGGAAGACAGGACTTCAGTGAGGAACATTTCCCTCACTCAGGACAGGAAAGTGGCTTCTCCCCTGTGTGAGATCTCTGATGTCTGTAAAGATGGGACGTCTGTGAAAAACATTTCCCGCACTCAGGACAGGAATACAGCTTCTCCCCAGTGTGAGATCTCTGATGTTTATGAAAAAATGGACTTCTTTGAAAAACATTTGCTGCACACAGGGACAGGAATACGGCTTCTCCCCCGTGTGAGATCTCTGATTGTGTGTGAAGACCAGACCTGTATGAAAAAAACATTTCCCACACTCAGCACAGGAATACGGCTTCTCCCCCGTGTGCAGTCTCTGATGTGTGTGAAGACTGGACTTTTGTGAAAACCATTTTCCCGCACACAGGACAAGAATACGGCTTCTCCCCCCGTGTGAGATCTCTGTGAGTGTGAAGACTAGACTTGTATGAAAAACATTTCCCACACTCAGAACAGGAATACGGCTTCTCCCCAGTGTGAGATTTCTGATGTCTGTAAACATCAGACTTCAGTGAAAAACATTTCCCACACTCAGGACAGGAATAAGGCTTCTCCCCCGTGTGCAGTCTCCTTCTGATGTGTGTGAAGACTGGTCCTTTGTGAAAAACATTTCCCGCACACAGGACAGGAATAAGGCTTCTCCCCCGTGTGCAGTCTCTGATGTGTGTGTGAAGACTAGACTTGTATGAAAAACATTTCCGCACTCAGGACAGGAATACGGCTTCTCCACTTTGTGAGATCTCTGATGTGTGAGAAGACGGGCTTTTCACTGAAAAAACATTTTCTCGCACTGGGACAGGAATACGGATTCTCCCCTGTGTGAGAATCTCTGATGTGTGTGAAGAGTAGACTTGTCTGAAAAAACATTTCCCACACTCAGAACAGGCATACGGCTTCTCCCCTGTGTGACATCTCTGATATCTGTAAAGATAGGACTTATCTGAAAAACATTTCCCGCGCTCAGGACAGGGAAAAACGGCTTCTCTCCCGTGTGAAATCTCTGATGTTTATGAAGAATGGACTTCTTTAAAAAACATTTCCCACACTCAGGACAGGAATAAGGCTTCTCCCCCGTGTGAGATCTTTGATGTCTGTAAACTTTAGACTTCTGGGAAAAAACATTTCTCACAGTCAGGACAGGAATACGGCTTCTCCCCTGTGTGAGATCTCTGATGTGTGTAAAGATGAGACTTTCGTGAAAAATATTTCCCGCACTCAGGACAGGAATACGGCTTCTCCCCCCGTGTGAGATCTTCTATGCACATTAAAACCATATTTAGATTGGAAACATTTCCCGCACTCAGGACAGGAATATGGCTTCTCCCCCGTGTGAGATCTTTTATGCACGTTAAGTTTGGATTTAGAACAGAAACCCTTTCTGCACTCAGTACAGGAGAAGCTCTTTCCCTGTTGGAAGGCCGGACTGGTCCCGCACAGTCTGATGTTCCTCAGGATACGAGGAATCTGATGGTCCATCTACACTGGGTGGTGCCGGATGGACATTGGAGGGAGCCGGGTTTTCTCCTGGACTTATACTGTGTGATGTCCTCATCTTCTACTTTCCAGTCTGGAGACAAAGTGAGACAATCCTCGGAGGGTTTTCCCCTCATCTCCCGGCCATGGACTAAAATACAAAGACAAAGAGGATTACTAGACAGGAGCTGATTGGTTCCCCCAAACCAGGACTCCTCCCACATCAGGCAGCTTGGTCTCTGAGGAGCTTACAATTCCACCCTCAAGGGAACTAGGAAATGGCTCCTCTGATCTCCTACCAGGTCATTTCTTTATTCATGGACCTTAGTCAGAGAGTGAGGAAACAACCAGAACTGTCTTTTTATAGGGGGGACAGTGATGAGGGGATTATAGGACGAGGGTCCCACCCCCTCTATCACTCATCTCCATCTTCCCAACACAAGAAGTACTGCACTTCCTTATTTACTCCATGATTTAGTCATGAAGAACAGCGGGCTGAGCCCCACCAGAGGTCAGAGAGTGAGGATGGGGGGAGAAACAAACCAAGATGAAGACTGGACTGATCCTGAAGACCACCATCATTGGGGTATTGACTCCTCCCTCATTATCACTTTCTGTTTAAGGGTCCAAAGTTGGAGGATGTGATCACATTATTATCACCACGTAAAAGTCTGTGCTCCAATCACATCATCCGATATAAAATGTCCAGCTGGGAGGAAATGGGGGGGGAACAAAAGAGAATCCATATTATGTGTATATATAGCAGTGGGGGGAGGGGGGGAGAGCAGAAGTCAGAAGTATGGAATGTACGACATAGAGAAGATAGTGCAGGGGTCAGGAGTATGTAATGTACAACATAGAGAATATAGTGCAGGGGTCAGGAGTATGTAATGTACAACATAGAGTATATAGTGCAGGGGTCAGGAGTATGTAATGTACAACATAGAGTATATAGTGCAGGGGTCAGGAGTATGTAATGTACAACATAGAGTATATAGTGCAGGGGTCAGGAGTATGTAATGTACAATATAGAGTATATAGTGCAGGGGTCAGGAGTATGTAATGTACAACAGGGTATATAGTGCAGGGGTCAGGAGTATGTAATGTACAACATAGAGTATATAGTGCAGGGGACAGGAGTATGTAATGTACAACATAGATTATATAGTGCAGGGGTCAGGAGTATGTAATGTACAACATAGAGTATATAGTGCATTGGTCAGGAGTAGGTAATGTACAGCAAAGTATATAGAGCAGGGGTCAGGAGGATGTAATGTACAAAAAGTATATAGTGCATAGAAAATAAAGCGCAGTGGTCAGGAGTATGTAATGTACAACATAGAGTATATAGTGCAGGGGTCAGGAGTATGGAATGTACAACATAGAGTATATAGTGCAGGGGTCAGGAGTATGGAATGTACATCATAGAGTATATAGTGCAGGGGTCAGGAGTATGTAATGTACAACATAGAGTATATAGTGCAGGGATCAGGAGTATGTAATGTACAACAGAGTATATAGTACAGGGGTCAGGAGTATGTAATGTACAACATAGAGTATATAGTGCAGGGGTCAGGAGTATGTAATGTACAACATAGATATATAGTGCAGGGGTCAGGAGTATGTAATGTACAACATAGAGTATATAGTGCATTGGTCAGGAGTAGGTAATGTACAGCAAAGTATATAGAGCAGGGGTCAGGAGGATGTAATGTACAACATAGAAAATAAAGCGCAGTGGTCAGGAGTATGTAATGTACAACACGGAGTATATAGTGTCGGGGTCAGGAGTAAGTAATGTACAACATGTAGTATATAGTGCATGGGGTCAGGAGTATGTAATGTACAACATGGAGTGTATATAGTGCAGGGGTCAGGAGTATGTACTGTACAACATAGAGTATATAGTGCAGGGGTCAGGAGTATGTACTGTACAACATAGAGTATATAGTGCAGGGGTCAAGAGAATGTAATGTACAACATAGAGTATATAGTACAGGGGTCAAGAGGATGTAATGTACAACATAGAGTATACAGTGCAGGGGTCAGGAGTATGTAATGTACAACAGAGTAAATAGTGCAGGGGTCAGGAGTATGTAATGTACAACATGGAGAATATAGTGCAGGGGTCAGGGGTATGTAATGTAAAACATAGAGTATATAGTGCAGGGGGTCAGGAGGATGTAATGTACAGCATATAGTATATAGTGCAGGGGTCAGGAGTCTGTAATGTACAACATAGAGTATATAGTGCAGGGGTCAGGAGTATGTTGTGGGCTTTTGAATTATGTCTCAAAAACATGATTTATCAAGACATAATCCTATATAACATCAAGTCAGCATAGCCGGATGTTAAGGGGTTAATTTGTCTTGGTTGGAAAGTCGAATGACCATCTAGCTAGAGAAATGTAATGGGTGAAGGGGATGTGTTTTTTCTTTCCTCCTAGAGACAATACTATTTTGAAGTTCTACAGGTGATCAAACACCATTATTCAGACTTCAATAAGCAGGTAAACATATACAAGGTCTGGACATGACAATAGAGGAACCAAACTGATTGTCTGAGAGCTTACCCAAACCTTGTAGAGTGTGATGAACCAACAGACCTCTGAAACTATTACCATATACTATTGTTCACCAAGGGTGAAAGCATTAACAATTGTTTACCATGAGTCCAATACAAGGGCCAGGCAAACAGAGAGTTTTTTCCTACACAGAGAAAATGTTGATTCTGAAACAAAGAGGTGAAATTTAGGACACTTAAGTCTAAAAGTTGACTGTATATAATTACAAAAATATATTACAAAAACATATATATAAATGAGATGTTATGGATTTTACACCACTAAATATTCAGAAATGGGAACTATATATCACTAACTTGAGTATTTGAGATGATGGGAAGTAAGATTGTATTATAGAATAGCATTAGTTACATGTCTTATCAGGAAACAGACAGGATGGTACTTCAAGAAGGAATAACTGAATATACACCTATATTCCATGGTCCCTATTTAGAATATCATAGGTATGATCACTGCTATATCTGGAAAGAGCCGTATATTTAATTCCTGAAATTACCTGAAGATTCCACCCAAGGTATGAGTCATCTCAAATACTCACATTGTTCTGTGGATACATGACCGCCACCTGGCGGGCAGGTGAGAATATAGCTTATGTACACACATTTATCAACTAGCCAATCAGGAAGCCTGGTGGGAAGGTATCTTAGAACAATGGACTAGTGGATATAAAAGCCCTTGTGCTTTAAGATAAAAAAAAAAACCCTCATAAAAACCTCATGGAAAGACCTGATCAAGAAGAAGATCTCTGCTGAACAACTACTCTTCCATCTTTTAAAACTTCCTAAAACTTTAACTAAATTCCTAAACCTCTAATCTTATAACTTCCTACATTCTCCCCTACTGAGAATCTTTCACTTGCCCTATATATCAGTCCAAAGGCGTTCCACTGCCAGCTAAATCCACGGGAGAGTTGCCTAGTCTGAATTCCAGGTGTGGTGAGATGTTTATTTGATTTTGTATTACCTATTTTCTCTGTTGTGTGGAATCATAAAATTATCTTAGTGTATCACAACAATATTTGGGTAGTTAGATATATGTAGAGAAAATCCTATTTTACTGTTAAAAATTGTTTATTGCCATATTATAAAATTTTTCATAATTTCATAATTTATTGAATATTAATACCAGAGTATCATATATCAAGGGCTTACTTCTTGCAATCCTATGGCCACGGCTTGCGAGAATATAACCTTTGAGATATTCGAAATTATTAATTATTAATAAATTTAATAAATAATCATATCATTTAAAAATTGTGATTGATGTAATTAGTTAGAAACTTTATTATTGTGTCTTACATTGGTAGGATATATTCTTGATTGTGTGTACCAATATTCATTTATCACCAGTCTTTTGCGTTTTGTGTTTTAATATATATATAATTTTTGTACATAAATAAATTTTTATATTTATCTATTATAAGGCAAATTTTGTGTGTATGGTACGAAATCATATTGGCTAAAAGAATTCAAGGTATAATAATAAGTGGTGATCAAATTATCAAGGTGTCCAAATTATTGGTTTACTAAATATTTGCCGTATTTAACGGCTGGAGGCACTGTAATATTTCATCTAAGGGAAAGGGGACACGCCCTTTATAAATAATATATATCCTTACATAAACCACCACAAGTATGTAATGTACAAAATAGAGTATATAGTGCAGGGGTCAGGAGTATGTAATGTACAACATGGAGTATATAGTGCAGGGGTCAGGAGTATGTAATGTACAACATGGAGTATATAGTGCAGGGGTCAGGAGTATGTAATGTACAACATAGAGTATATAGTGCAGGGGTCAGGAGGATGTAATGTACAACAAAATAGAGTATATAGTGCAGGGGTCAGGAGTATGTAATGTACAACATAGAGTATACAGTGCAGGGGTCAGGAGTATGTAATGTACAACATAGAGTATACAGTGCAGGGGTCAGGAGTATGTAATGTACAAGTTATATAGTATAAGGGTCAGGACTCACAGTATTAGTATTCTGTAATCAGTGGAAGCTTAAATGTTTACTGTAGACAACATGTAGAGGTGAGCTGGGATTAAACCATCATGAAACGATTAGAGGAGTGGCAGTGGATGTAGTATACTTGGACAGAGGGGTGGCAGTGGACGAGGTACACTTGGAAAGAGGGGTGGCGGGTGGACCTGGTATACTTGGACAGAGGGGAGGCGGTGGACTTGGTATACGTGGACAGAAGAGTGGCGGTGGACGTGGTATAATTGGACAACTGAGGGGTGGGGGTGGACGTGGTATACTTGGACAGATGGGTGGTGGTGGACGTGGTATACTTGGACAGAGGGGTGGCGGTGGACGTGGAATACTGGGACAGAGGGGGTGGCGGTGGATGTGATATACTTGGACAGAGGGTGGCGGTGGACGTGGTATACTTGGACAGAGGGGGGTGGCGGTGGAGTGGTATACTTGGACAGAGGGGTGGCTGTGGACGTGGTATACTTGGACAGAGGGTGGTGGTTGACGTGGTATACTTGGACAGAGGTGTGGCGGTGGACATGGTATACTTGGACAGAGGGGTGGTGGGGGGTGTGGTATACTTGGACAGAGGGGTGTTGGTGGACGTGGTATACTTGGACAGAGGGGTGTTGGTGGACGTGGTATACTTGGACAGAGGGGTGTTGGTGGACGTGGTATACTTGGACAGAGGGGTGGTGGTGGACGTGGTATACTTGGACAGAGGGGTGGTGGTGGACGTGGTATACTTGGACAGAGGGGTGTTGGTGGACGTGGTATACTTGGAGAGGGGTGGCGGTGGACGTGGTACACTTGGACAGAGGGGTGGCAGTGGGGACGTGGTATACTTGGACAGAGGGGTGGCGGTGGACGTGGTATACTTGGACAGAGGGGTGGCGGTGGACGTGGTATACTTGGACAGAGGGGTGGTGGTGGACGTGGTATACTACTGGACACAGTTCCCCACACACGGCTAATATGTAAGGTAAAGTCTATGGGTGGAGAAATTCTGAATGTAAATGGATAGAAAACTGGCTAAAAGATCGTATTCAGAGAGTAGTGGTTAATGATTTCATACTCTGAATGGTCTGGGGGGTGTCAGTGGTGTACCCCAGGGTTCAGTGTTATTAGTGGGGTACCCCAAGGTTCAGTGTTTTTAATTGGGTACCCCAAGGTTCAGTGTTATTAGTGGGGTACCCCAAGGCTCAGTGTTATTAGTGGGGTACCCCAGGTTAAGTAGTATTAGTGGGGTACCCCAGGGTTCAGTGTTATTAGTGGTGTACCCCAAGGTTCAGTGTGTATTAGTGGGGGACCTCAAGGTTCAGTGTTATTAGTGGGGGACCCCAAGGTTCAGTGTTATTTAGTGGGGGGTATCCCAAGTTACAGTATTATTAGTGGGGTACCCCAAGGTTCAGTGTTATTTAGTGGGTATCCCAAGGTTCAGTGTTATTAGTGGGTACCCCAAGGTACAGTATTATAAGTGGTGTACCCCAAGGTTCAGTGTTATTAGTGGGGGACCCCAAGGTTCAGTGTTATTAGTGGGGGACCTCAAGGTTCAGTGTTATTAGTGGGGGACCTCAAAGGTTCAGTGTTATTAGTGGGGGACCCCAAGGTTCAGTGTTATTAGTGGGGTACCCCAAGTTACAGTATTAATTAGTGGGGTACCCCAAGGTTCAGTGTTATTAGTGGGGTATCCCAAGGTTCAGTGTTATTAGTGGGGTACCCCAAGGTACAGTATTATAAGTGGTGTACCCCAAGGTTCAGTGTTATTAGTGGGGGGACCCCAAGGTTCAGTGTTATTAGTGGGGGACCTCAAGGTTCAGTGTTATTAGTGGGGGATTATGACCCCAAGTTACAGTATTATTAGTGGGGTACCCCAAGGTTCAGTGTTATTAGTGGGGGGTACCCCAGGGTTCACTGTTATTAGTGGGGTACCCCAAGGTTCAGTGTTGAGGACCCTTACTTTTTAATATATATATATAAACAATATGGGGTGTGAGATTATAAACCCCCATTCCAGTCTTTGCAGATGACACCAAGCTGTGCGGGGAATAACGTCCTTACAGGATGTCTCCAACTTACAAGCCAACCTCAATGCTCTGTGTAATTGGGAGACTATGGGGCAATGGGGGCTAATGGTGATAAATGTAAGGTTCTGCACTGGGGGGGGACTAAGAATATGCATCATACATACTAGGGGGGTACAACTGGGGGGGATATGATCAACATGTATAATACATAAGGGGGGATATGATCTCCATGTATAATACATAAGGGGGGGATATGATCACCATGTATAATACATAAGGGGGGGATATGATCACCATGTATAATACATAAGGGGGGTATGATCTCCATGTATAATACATAAGGGGGGGGGGATATGATCTCCATGTATAATACATAAGGGGGGGATATGATCTCCATGTATAATACATAAGGGGGGTATGATCTCCATGTATAATACATAAGGGGGGATATGATCTCCATGTATAATACATAAGGGGGGATATGATCTCCATGTAATAATACATAAGGGGGATATGATCTCCATGTATAATACATAAGGGGGGGATATGATCTCCATGTATAATACATAAGGGGGGGGATATGATCTCCACGTATAATACATAAGGGAGGATATGATCTCCATGTATAATACATAAGGGGGATATGATCTCCATGTATAATACATAAGGGGGGATATGATCTCCATGTATAATACATAAGGGGGGGATATGATCTCCATGTATAATACATAAGGGGGGGGTTGCTGTAGGAAAGTCCTGGATTCTTTCTTGGATACACAGAATATAACTGGATATAACATTTATAGGGAAAGTTGATCCAGGGAATATCCAATTGCCTCTCGGGGGGTCAGGAAGGAATTTTTTTCCCCTGCAGGAGCAGATTGGATCGTGATTTGCTGGGTTTTTGCCTTCTGGTGGATCAGCTGTGGGTGTCGGATTATAACTTTTATTTTTAATGGTACAACTAGATGGATGTCTTTTTTTCCAGCCAGACTAACTATGTAACTATGTAGGTCCCACACCGCTGCCTCCCATCTCCTGAGACTGCACTCAGTGACTTGGGTCTGAGACACTACAGACATATCCCTCCACCCGGCACAGCCAGCAGATAACAGAGAAGGTCCCCTGGAAGAGTCAGGCACAAGGCAGGAGACCCCAGTCACATGTCCTGGGTGCCTACATTATGCAATGCTTATAGGAAAAATCAACATTTTGCTGCCAGCTGAACCCCAGAACCTCCATAAATCCAGTCTAGATATATAAATTGTGTCTGCAGCACAGAGAAGGAAGATTATCCGAGAGAAATCCAGGAATACAGGACGGGGAACACAGCTCAGGAAAGTGACCAGGGGATTACAGGCTGATATCACCCAGTCCCCGCCCTACTCTGGACCAATCAGTGAGCAGTATGGGTGGAGGAATGGATTTAGTGTTCATGACCCACCTGTGCTGATCTCTGTAGGAGTGTCCTCCTCTATAAATGTCCCCGTTATTCCATCCTCCTCCATAGACTGCTGATCATCCCTCACATACGCCTCTTCTTCTTCTGCTTTCACCTCAAATTCTATATCGATTGGATCTCCACTCTAAATCAAGGAAATGAGAGAAAATATCATCTGTAAAATATAAGGTCACAGAAAAACCCCCACACATTGTCTCTATGAATCCATGTTCTAGATGCTCCATCCCACCAACCTTGCAATAATGAAGGATGGTGTGACCTTCCTGTGTGGAATCCCGGGAATACAGAGGACGGGGACATCTCTCTGGTGGGTTCCTGTAGCTGGATGACTCCACCATGGTGTCCTGGTACAGATCTTTGTGTTCCTTTAGAATCTCTGACTCCTCCATCCCCCCATCCTCATCCTCCTCCTCTTTTATCTCTTCTTTTCACATCAACTTTAGGATCTCTCAGGTTTCCACTCTGAATATATAATAAAATGCCATCAATGGTAACAATGCAGATAATGTACAGATCCTAATGATACTATCAGTGATTGTTCCTCATCTACCTGATGATGGTGAGGGATGGTGTGACCTTCCTGTGTGGAATCCCGGGAATACAGAGGACGGGGACATCTCTCTGGTGGGTTCCTGGTATTAGGTGGCTCCATCATATCCTTGTGTCCTTCTGAAAACTCCTCCATCACTCCACATACCTTCATCCTCCTCTTTATATCTCTTCTTTAACATCAATTTTATCATCCCCGAGGATTCCACTCTGAAAGATATAATAAAACATTCATTGTAACAAAACATGCTGTGTATGTAAATCACAACTACCAATAATTGTTCATCATCTACCTGATGATGGTGTGAGGGATGGTGTGACCTTCCTGTGTGGAATCCCGGGAATACAGAGGACGGGGACATCTCTCTGGTGGGTTCCCATGACTGGATCCATCTGTAGGAAACACACACACTGACTGAATCCATTGTTTCTATGTGTTTATCAGATGATGGGGGATCTAGGTGGATCCTCCGTACTGCTCTCTCCTTTACAATAAAGTCTCCTCTTACCCGGTGATGTGAGGGGCGGCTGATTGTCCATCATGACGTCCTTGTAGAGATCCTTGTGTCCTTCTAAATATTGATGTGTATCATCATCTGCTGCAGAAAAAAAGAAGTCACAGTGACTATGGAGGGAGAGGAAGGACATGACTATGGAGGAAGAGGACGGACATGACGGGGGGGGTTACTGGGTGTAAATAGAACATAACATCTTATTACTGTTTTATGACTATGGTCTGTGTCTGGTCTGTTTGAGAATCATCCCCCCTATTCATGTGATCCTTATCAGTTCCTAATTGAGGCGGAGATGAGTGCTCATTTGGCCATCTCCCTATAAATTTAGAACAGCTTATGGAGGAGATCACTGATGGGGGGGGGGGGGCACAGTCACTGATGGGGTGCTGATTTTGAGTTAGTGTTGCGTTGATGGAGTGTGAGAAAGCAGATGAACACAGCAGGTTTACTAAAGCAGAACTCAAGCAGCAGGAAGATACAACAGCAAGAAACTCTCCTGCATGCTGGACAGACTGCAAGCAAAAACCCTGGGGGAAAAATCTCTAACAAGTCTGAGTACCACTCTGTGTACCTTTAATATGTCCCCTCTACTCCTCCTTTTCATATTACTTTCCTGCGTTCTCAAAATCTCACTTCTTTACCCCTCTGCTCCACCCCAAAACTTGTACATCTCCCCCTCACTGCTACCATCTCCCTACTACTGCTCTCATCACCTCCTGCTGATACTTCACTCTCCTGCTGACCCAAACACCAGGACTGGAAGGCATGTGTGCTCGTGTACATCCCACTCCCATGTTACTTTCCTCACCCTCCTTCTAACCTCTGGGGATATCTCCCCAAACCCTGGTCCTCCACTATCTCACCCCCACACCAGGCATCCTCCTTCTCTAACCTCTGGGGATATCTCCCCAAACCCTGGTCCTCCACTATCTCACCCCCACACCAGGCATCCTCCTCCTAACCTCTGGAGATATCTCCCCAAACCTGGGTCCTCCACTATCTCACCCCCACACCACCAGGCATCCTCCTCTTCTCCTAACCTCTGGGGATATCTCCCCAAACTCTGGTCCTCCACTATTTCACCCCCACACCAGGCATCCTCCTTCTTCTCCTATCCTCTGGGGATATCTCCCCAAACCCTGGTCCTCCACTATTTCACCCCCACACCAGGCACCCTCCTTCTCCTATCCTCTGGGGATAGCTCCCCAAACCTTGGTCCTCCACTATCTCACCCCCACACCAGGTATCCTTCTCCTATCCTCTTAACCTACTAGCAATTACAGAAACCTGGCTCCAAGCAGCAGATTCTGCTTCCCCGCAGCACTTTCCTATGGAGGCCTCCTCTGGACCCACTCACCCAGACCCAGTGGTCAGAAAGGTGGTGGGGTTGGTTTGCTTCTATCCCCACTGAGCACCTTCCATGTCCTCCCTAACCCTCCCTCGCTATCCTTCTCTTCTTTCCAGACTCACTGCATCCGGCTGTTTTCTCCCCTTTCTCTGAGGATTGCAGTGATCTATCGGCCTCCTGGACCCGTGTCCCGCTTTCTTGATGATTTCTCCCGCCTGGCTGCCCTACTTTCTCTCCTCTGAACTATCCGCTATATCATTCTCAGAGATTTTACCATTCCTATTAATGTCAACAACCCGGCTACATCCCAACTCTTCAACATAACCTCATCTCTTGCATTAGCACAATGTATACCGTCCTCCACTCACTCTGATGGGAATACATTAGACCTTGTTTTCTCCCATCTTTGCACTCCCTACAACCTCACAAACACCCCCTTTCCTCTCTCTGATCACAATCTCATCACCTTCACAGTCTCCTCGTCTTCAAACACCTATCCCTCCAAGCAGCAAACAATTACCCGCAGAAACCTTCACAACTTGAAACCCGGCTCCTTTCCACTCTGCAACTGACCAACTCTATGACAGAATCTCTCCCCTGTCCTGCCCTGACCTGGCCACTGCTGTCTACAACAGTTCGCTGTCATCCACATTAGACTCACTTGCTCCTCTAACAACACGAAGCATCAGGCCCCGACCGTTACAACCATGACAGACTGACCACACCAGACATCTTAAGTGACATAGTCATGCGCTGGAGCGATTGTGGTGTAAAACCAAATCCCAGCAAGCATTCACCCGATATAAATCTGCTTTCTTCACATACAATTCCTCCCTCCATGCTGCCAAACAAGACGACTTTGTCACTCTTATTAATACCTTGTCATCCAGTCCTCGTCGTCTCTTCTCTACTTTTAACTCTCTACTTTCTCCACCTCCACCCAGTACCTCACTCACTGCTCATGAGATTGCAAATCATTTAAAAAAGAATGACACAATTCATAGGGTCATCTCCTCTGCACAGACATCCATCCCACTTACCAGACCTTATATACTAAACCTCCCTCAACACTTTCCTCTTCTGACCTCGCTACTACCGAAGAGGTCACTAAGGTTTTCTCAGAAGTCGGTCTCACTACCTGCCCCCTGGATCCTGTCCCCTCACAACTACTATGGCCATCCTCTTCTTCCATCCTATGCTCCCTCACTCACATCTTCAATCTCTCCCTCTCTACTGATGCCTTCCCCTCCCCTCTAAAGCATGCACACATCACTCCCATACTTAACAAGCCCTCCGTTGACCCCACCAACCTGAACAACTTAAGACCCATCTCCCTGCTGCCATTTACCTCTAAACTCCTAGAATGCTTAGTCTACAATTGCCTGAGCTTCCACCTCACCGACAACAACCTTCTCAACCCTTTACAGTCTGTTTTTCGCTCACTACACTCCACTGAAACTGCCCTACTAAAACTCTTTAATGATCTTCTAACTGCTAAAACCAATGGCCACTACTCCGTACTCACTATCCCAACCATGGCCGCTACTCCGTACTCCTCCCAACCATTGGCCACTACTCCGTACTCATCCCAACCGATGGCCACTACTCCGTACTCATCCCAACCGATGGCCACTACTCCGTACTCATCCCAACCGATGGCCACTACTCCGTACTCATCCCAACCGATGGCCACTACTCCGTACTCATCCCAACCGATGGCCACTACTCCGTACTCATCCCAACCGATGGCCACTACTCCGTACTCATCCATCCCAACCGATGGCCACTATGGCCACTACTCCGTACTCATCCCAACCGATGGCCACTACTCCGTACTCATCCCAACCGATGGCCCGTACTCATCCCAACCGTACTCATCATCCCAACCGATGGCCACTACTCCGTACTCATCCCAACCGATGGCCACTACTCCGTACTCATCCCAACCGATGGCCACTACTCCGTACATCCATCCCAACCGATGGCCACTACTCCGTACTCATCCCAACCGATGGCCACTACTCCGTACTCATACTCCCAACCGATGGCCACTACTCCGTACTCATCCCAACCCACCGATGGCCACTACTCCGTACTCATCCCAACCGATGGCCACTACTCCGTACTCATCCCAACCGATGGCCACTACTCCGTACTCATCCCAACCGATGGCCACTACTCGTACTCATCCCAACCGATGGCCACTACTCCGTACTCATCCCAACCGATGGCCACTACTCCGTACTCATCCCAACCGATGGCCACTACTCCGTACTCATCCCAACCGATGGCCACTACTCCGTACTCCCCAACCGATGGCCACTACTCCGTACTCATCCCAACCGATGGCCACTACTCCGTACTCATCCCAACCGATGGCCACTACTCCGTACTCATCCCAACCCGTACTCATGGCCACTACTCCGTACTCATCCCAACCGATGGCCACTACTCCGTACTCATCCCAACCGATGGCCACTCCGTACTCCCCAACCTGGCACCCCACTACTCCGTACTCATCCCAACCGATGGCCACTACTCCGTACTCATCCCAACCAATGGCCACTACTCCGTACTCATCCCAACCAATGGCCACTACTTCGTACTCATCCCAACCAATGGCCACTAATCCGTACTCATCCCAACCATTGGCCACTACACCTTACTCATCCCAACCAATGGCCACTACTCTGAACTCATCCTAACCAATGGCCACTACTCTGAACTCATCCTAACCAATGGTCTCTACTCCGTACTCATCCAAACCAATGGCCACTACACTGTACTAATCCCAACTGGTTGATATGGTTGACCACCCCCTCCTCCTCAGAAAATTCCACTCTCTTAGCCTCAGAGACTCTGCTCTCTCCTGGTTCTCCTCCTATCTATCGCAGCGCTCCTTCAGTGTTACCTATAATGCTGCCGCCTCCTCCTCTTCACTCCCTCTCTCTGTAGAGGTCCCTCAAGGTTCTGTCCTTGGACCCGTTCTCTCTCTCCCATCTACACCTCCTCCCTTGGTCACTTGATAAACTCCCACAGCTTTAAGTACCATCTCTATGCCGATGACACACAAATCTATCTTTCTACCCCTCACCTCACCCCTTCAGTCTCCTCCTCACCTCACCCCTTCAGTCTCCTCCTCACCTCACCCCTTCAGTCTCATCTCGCATTACTAACCTACTAAGTGACATATCGGCATGGATGTCACTCCACTTCCTCAAACTCAGTCTTTCCAAAACTGAGCTCTTAGTATTCCCTCCAGCCCGTGCCCCCTCCTCTGACTTCTCCATCAAGATCAATAATACAACCATCAGTCCCTCCCCCCATGCCAGGGTACTAGGTGTAATCCTAGACTCCCATCTGTCCTTTTACTCCCAAATCCAATCACTGTCCAAATCTTGTAGACTTCACCTCCGCAACATCTCCAAGATACGCCCGTTCCTAACCTCGGAAACCACTAAGCAACTTATTCCCTCCCTTGTTATATCTCGCCTTGACTATTTTAACTCCATCCTCATTGGCCGACCTCATGACAGGCTATCCCCTCTTCAGTCTATCATGAATGCTGATGCCAGACTCATCCACCTTACTAACCGTGCTGCATCTGCCACCTCTCTCTGCCAATCCCTCCACAAGCCTCCATTCAGTAACCTCCACCCCTCTCTGCCAATCCCTATACTGGTCTCCATTCTGTGTCCTCCATCCTTCTCTGCCAATCTGTCCACTAGCCTCCACACAGTGTCCTCCATCCCTCTCTGCCAATCCCTCCACTGTCCTCCATTCAGTATCCTCCAACCCTCTCTGCCAATCCCTCCACTGGCCTCCATTCAGTGTCCTCCACCCCTCTCTGCAAACCCCTCCACTGGCCTCCATTCAGTGTCCTCCACCACTCTCTGCCAATCCCTCCACTGGCCTCCATTCAGTATCCTCCAACCCTCTCTGCCAATCCCTCCACTGGCCTCCATTCAGTGTCCTCCACCCCTCTCTGCCAATCCCTCCACTGGCCTCCATTCAGTATCCTCCAACCCTCTCTGCCAATCCCTCCACTGGCCTCCATTCAGTGTCCTCCACCCCCCTCTGCAAACCCCTCCACTGGCCTCCACCCCTCTCTGCCAATATCTCCACTGGCCTCCACCCCTCTCTGCCAATCCCTCCACTGGCCCCCACTCAGTGTCCTCCACCCCTCTCTGCCAATCCCTCCACTGGCCCCCACTCAGTGTCCTCCACCCCTCTCTGCCAATCCCTCCACTGGCCTCCATTCAGTGTCCTCCAGCCCTCTCTGCCAATCCCTCCACTGGCCTCCAACCCTCTCTGCCAATCCCTCCACTTGCCTCCGTTCAGTGTCCTCCACCCCTCTCTGCCAATCCCTCCACTGGACTCCACTCCTCTCTGCCAATCCCTCCACTGGCCTCCGTTCAGTGTCCTCCACCCCTCTCTTTTAATCCCACCACTGGACTCACTCAGAGTCCTCTCCCCTCTCTGCCAATATCTCCACTGGCCCCCATCCCTCTCTGCCAATCCCTCCACTGGCCTCCATCATTGTAGTGTCCTCCAGTCCTCCAGCCCTCTCTCTGCCAATCCCTCCACTGGCCTCCATTCAGTGTCCTCCACCCCTCTCTTCCAATCCCTCCACTGGCCTCCATTCAGTGTCCTCAATCCCTCCACTGGCTTCCCATTGCCCAATGGATAAAAGTCAAAACACTAACAATAACATATAAAGCCATTTATAATTCTGCCCCAAATTACATCACCGATTATGTCTCTAAATATCACCCAAACTGTACTCTTCACTCCTCGCAAGACCTCCTGCTCTCTAGCTCCCTTGTCTCCTCCTCCCATGCTCATCTCCAGGACTTCTCCAGAGCTTCCCTATACTCTGGAACTCTCTACCCCAATTTATCAGACTATCGCCTACTCTACTCACTTTTAGGCGATCTCTGAAAACCTCTCTTCAGGGAAGCCTATCCTGCCCTCAGTTAATAATGGAATCTTCTATTCCTCCAACCAGTCCATCCCCCACAGCTAATTACCTTTTGTACCACTAGCCCTCCCTCCTAGATTGTAAGCTCCCAGGATCAGGGCCCTCCTATCCCTCTTGTATTGATCTGTATTGTCTCCCATTATATTGTAAAGCGCTGAGCAAACTGTTGGCACCATAAATCCTGTATAATAATAATTACCTCCTCTACTGCCACGTCCACCAACCTCTCCGATCTCCTTCAGCTCGCATGGAACTTTGTGTCTTTATTTCAGATCACTTCCTGTCTGTTCCTGACATCACTTCCTGTCTGAATTCCATAGAGAAGTCCTGTCTTAATAGTAGAAATGAGATCACCATCTTGTGGAGTTCAGAGGAACTGCAGCCCCGAGAAATGTACCTTAATAACCATTCCTGCATTGTATCTACCTTACAGAGATACCAGGGAAGTTCAAAAAGAACTAAAAAAAGTAAGAAACAATAAACCTAACTCTTATGCAACCAACTGTTTAAATAAGATATTTTACTACAGATAGAAAAGTCTTAAAGACACAGAATACAAGATAGATAAAATAAAGGTATAGATTATAAAACAGAGACCTCCAAAATCAAAATCAGACACACTACCCAGAATGTCCCATCCTTCATATCAGAGAGAGACAGACTACCCAGAATGTCCCGTCCTCCTCATATCAGAGAGAGAGAGACAGACTACCCAGAATGTCCCATCCTTCATATCAGAGAGAGACAGACTACCCAGAATGTCCCGTCCTTCATATCAGAGAGAGAGAGAGACTACCCAGAATGTCCCGTCCTTCATATCAGAGAGAGACAGACTACCCAGAATGTCCCGTCCTTCATATCAGAGAGAGACAGACTACCCAGAAAGTCCCATCCTTCATATCAGAGAGAAAAAGACAGACTACCCAGAATGTTTCATCCTTCATATCAGATACCAAGTCAGACTACCCAGAATGTCCTGTCCCTCATATCAGAGGCCCCCAGATCCTGCCCCCCCACAATGTGAATGAGTATAGAGTACATAGTACCCCTATTCATCACCAAAAAAAGTAGTGTAAAACAACACTGGCAGCAATTTTTGACAAAACAGAAATAAAGAAAAAATTCCCATGATGTAGATCCATCGATGATCCAATCACAATACTCACTGTTATCGCTGACTCAAAGAAAAAACAAAGCTCCACTCCTGATGTCTGACAGCTCTGCCATTTCCCACTTCTAAAGAAACTAAGGAGCGCTACAACCCTGTGATGTCACTGGGTGGCCTTGCCCTCTTGTGATGCCACCAATACAACATGCCCCGGTCAGTGATGTCACCGAGTGGCACCGCCCCTTAGTATATTTAGTGGCAGGAGGCAGCAGAGCTGTCAGACAGAGGGGAGTCTTCATTGGGAGCGGAGCTTTTCTTTCCGAGTCAGCGGTGACAGCGAGCATTGTGATTGATGATGGATCTACACCGGGGGGACATTTTGCTTTTTTAATAAAGAACTTGTCAAAAACTGCCTGCTGTCTTTTTAACAGAATACTTTTTTGGGGTAAATAATTAGGGGTATCATGTACCCCATACTCATTCACATGGGGTGAGGGATCTGAGGGCCCCCTTGTTAAATTTTGTAAGTCCTCTGCCTGCAAACCTCCACAGCCACTAGCCTGGGTTGTGGGGAAGAGTCCCTTGTCTCCATCAACATGGACAAGGTGCTCTGGGGGAGCAAAGCCCCCCCGCCCCAGAGAATCCCCTCCATGTTAAGGGCACGTGGCCTGGTATGTTTCAGGAGGGGGGGTCGCTTGCTTGTCTCCCCCTTTCCTTACCTGCCAGCAGCATGCTCAGAAAGGGGTCTGGTATGTATTTCTTTCATTTTGGCAAGGGGTCCCCCTCAAAATCCATACTAGACCCCCCAAGGGAGGGACCCCACGCCATTTTCTTAATATTTCATTGCCTGTAATTTTTTCTTTTTAGATTTATCGGTTGGTTAGGATGCGGCGCCCG